GGGAGACAAGCCGGCCGGGAACCCGACCACAAGCACCCAGCCTGGGAGACAAATGAAAAGAAGTGGGAGACAAATGAAAGGACGTGGGAGACAAGCCACCTGCGAACCCGACCAGACCATCCAGCACCAAGGCGACTATTCTTTAAAGCATTGAGAACCCCTAACAGTAAACTGTTTGGGGAATAATGAAAACACCTGAAAAAATCATGAAAACACCCAATCAATAAATTTCTGAAAAATTGTTCTCCTTGACCCTATGCTCCAAAATTAGTTTCCTGCAATCTCTGGCTGGATTACACTGGGATACTGTCCCAACACATGGCCGTTCGCCGGACATGCCCAACCAAATCCGTAAATCCATGCCATAGACCATAGCAAACCAACATGAACACCTACAACATGCTTCTGCAAAAGGAAGCAAGGTAGGTGTCTGTCCGTCCAGGCCACTTCTTGGATCGCAGCGTGTTGAGCGTGATCATCATCTCAACGATGTTGCCAAAGGTGGCGTTCAGCATCCCAGCCTCAAACCCCGCCCCACGTCAGAGGTCTGAAAAGACAAACCGGGCACGTCGGATTGGGATCGTGAACGGAGAATGATATATGATGATATATGTTATATGTTGTACATAGTTTTTTGGGGGGCCGGACGGCCCAATCACCGTGCGGCAGCTGCAGAGGCACACTGCAGCAGCAAGGTGGTGGCACCCTGCAGCGGCACCACCACCCAAGCGCACCCTGCAGCAGCACCCTGCACCCAAGCCCCCAAGCTCACACAGCAGCGGCATCCTGCAGCGGCACGAGCACCCAGGCTCAAAAACACACACATGCAGCTCTTCTTATACTTGACGTAGGAACCCCAATAGCTCACGCTCACTGGCTCACTGGGGAATCATGGAAGTTGAAAACCACCTGTTTGTAGAGGAAAATGGCCATTGAAAATGGTCAGCGTTCTGAAAGGTTTGCTGGAGGAACTTGTGCATAGTGTGCCCACAGAACACCACCCTGAACATCGCTCACAAGAGCGTTTCTCTTACCGTGTGTGTGAAGCTTTGCCCCTTTGAGAGTTCACCTCTGAGCCGCTACTGCATCGTTCTTGATGGCCACCGCAAGCTCCTGAAGATCATTGGGGCTCTGAAATGGAAGAAAAACAGCATATTTACAAACCCTGCAGGTAGTGGGAGAGAACATGGTATGCCATCCTTTTCAGCAGTGTAGTGGAGGATCCTTTCTCAACATAGTGATGCGCCAACAGAACAGTGGAGGATTTTTGGGACGATAGAAACGATCAAAGGTCAGATTGGATTGTCGGTTTTGGGGGGGCCAACTTGTTCAATACATCCGGCATGATGATTCCCCTCCCGGTAAGCGTAGCAACCCAATGCAACCAAGTAGTTGTAAGCAGCTTCATTAAAAAGGCTTGCACTCCCAGCAGCATCCACAAGGCAGAACATGAGTCACATGAGCACTCACCTGCAGCCGCTAGTTAGCAGCTAGCACGGACCCACAGAAGATTTGTCATCCAGGGTTCTTGTGAGCTTTCCACGAAAGTGGATCATAAAAATATGTGGAGCTCGCCACCGCCCTAGAGCAAAGGGGGCAAGAAATCTCCAGAACTTCTCTTGGCCAGGAGCTGCCAGGGTACCATCTGGTTATATATATATATATAACATGTTGTATGGCAGTTGTATTCTCATTCCATCCAAGGGTCCCCGCCCTGTCTGGCAGTTGTATGTCTTCCGCCCAATCCCAGGTCGTCCGGGTGTCCCAGTGGCATCCCTCCTCGGTGGCATCCCCTAAGAGCTTCGCCAACGGCAGCAAGGCCTCCAGATCGACTCGGGGCATCGATGACGCGTTCAGCGATGCGTTTCTGGCGGAAACCTCACAGCATCTGCAAGCTGAGAGCCTTGTTCTTGGAATTATCAAACATCAAAATAAGTTGTATACATAATTACATGTGTGTTTTTAATATAATATAGAGAGGGAGAGAGGTACATCACTAGATACATCATTAGAATTATGTTTTGTATTGGTTTGTTATATAGTTCTCCCCCTGCGTGAGGGCCTAAAGCGGATGCGCCATCAAGGGCAAAGCTCCTGCGCCGCAATCGTCATCGTTTTGACCTGCCCTTACATCTTGGAGGACCAAATGGCAGCGCTTGAGACCTACACCATGAACCCAAATTGCTTGGCCAGTCCCAACCCTCCAACTCTCAGCGAAGCGGCTATAAAGTTCAAGATAAATATCCAACCATCGCCCCACTCGTGGGTGGCAGAGAGGAACCCGAGCGGCACGAAGACCAACAGGAGGGAGAAGGGCGACCAAAAGATCTCTTGTAGGCCTCGGCTTGTGGCAGTCAGTGCAGGGTTGCCGCACACACGGTCAGCGCGGGCGCCATTGAACTTGTCAGAAACAAGAGAAATGTCAGGGACGACTACTAACCACAATGGGACGTACATGGGCGACTCCTTTGGGAGAATGAAAGCATGACAAGCTGCTACCCTCCCCCGAAGCAAACAGAACCTTTGCGGCTATTGTCCACTCCCATGATGGAGGGAGAGCATGTGGCCACGCACACTTCTCAGCTCGCGTGGATTTCTACCACTGGGTGCTCCCCGTCACAGTCGCGCTCGTGCGTCATGGTCGGGCCCCTACAGGACCGATTCTGCACCGCCCGGACGAGGCAGTTCAGAGACGACTGTCGGCACCCCAACGCAAACGAGAAAACATTCAATAATCACGAATGGATGATGTTAGCATATCTATGTCATAGTATGTCAGTATCTAGATGGTCACTGGATGGTGAGGTGAATAAGCTGGTCATAAATATCATAGAACCGTAAAACATCATAGAACTTTAGCAAATCAAACACTGGGGGCCCCAAACAGAAACCATTCCTCTCTCTCTCTCTCAGCAGCGCCTGGCTACAACGCAGCCGTCCCACAGGGACACGCTGAGGAAGGACCATACTCTTCCTATATCATCCTCTGTTTCAAGGGCACTTGCGAACTGGCCTACCCTTCCTGCTCCTGGCCCACACGCACCGCGCAACAACCCCCGACCCGCGGACCGCTCAACAACCCCCGCGGACCGCTCACTGCTCTGCGCCCGAGCGGCCGTCCCAGTTCGGGGCCTCCTTGCTGGACCTCCTCTTGATCAGCCCACGGTCCAAATGATCCGATAACTCCTCCTGCCGAGGACAGGAACGGAGGCACCGGACGCACTGGACGGAGGCCACGAAACGACGGATGTGGGAGTGGGCACGCGCCAGGTGGCGCCGGTGTTGGGGTGGGAAACGGCCATTAGGGGACCGGGGGAAAACACAAGAAAGCTCAGATTTGGAGGAGTGGAAGACTGTTTAGAGCCCAACCCTATCTGTTAGGCTCTGTTGGATTAACACCCGGGATGAGAGGGTGGCTGCGGTTGCAAATGCAGGCAGATTGCACTGAGATTGGAGAGGGTGGGATATCGGAATCCTTTCCTCATCCAACCTTAGAGCCCAGGAAACATTGGTTACCCTCTTGCAGCTCATGGTGGCAATTGTGCATCCTTCGCTTATCCATCTTATCCAGGTCATCTCATGTCATCTCCCACTGCTTCACCATGCGTACGCTTCCAAACCAATCCGACCCACGCCACGGAAGCTCTCCAGCGGAACGGAGTAGCCCCGGGTGTACCGGCAGCCGCGACGATTCTTGTAGAGCTCGGAGAAAGAGGCGGATTCGGGATTGATGTAGTGCGCGATCGACATCCTGCACGAGTGAACACGGCATTGGATGGAACGCCATCGCAGCAATGTCAACGTATATCGCAGCAATGCGAGAAAAGGAACTAAGCAGGCCCATAATTTGGCCAAGGCGTGAAGGAAGCACACAGACCAAAAGATTGGGCATAGACGATCGCATGCGTTCTACGCCCCAAATCTTCATGCATTACGAGTTGGCAGGGCTCCAACATAAAGACAAATGATATTACCCAGAACTCTCCCTATGACGAATGGTCTCTGCCCTCCCAGACCATGTCCGCCTGAACTGGCCAGCCGTGTTGCCGCGTGATGAAAAGCTCACGGCCTGAAGCCGAAAGACAGTGCCGTGGACATCCGTGGATGACGGTCTTCTGAGAAGTCATTAGCAGCCATCCCACCAAAGCATGGCCTTCCAGACCGAGGCCATCCTTAAGCAGAAGACAATGATGGCAACAATGATGCCCATATCATCTAACTCTGCAAAGAGATACACTCTTCCATATACGAGTATACGAGCACACCCCTCCCCAAATGTACATGTATGTGACCCAGTGAGCTACACTTGGCGTGGACGTAAAATTACCTACAAGCATCTGAAAACCTCTTCCATCCAGGATTCTGATAGAACATGATAGAACCACTGCACCATCTTGAAACTGGGCAGTGCTGCACAAGCCCCAAATTCCATGTAACTAAACAAAGTGCTGTGCTTTCGGCTCTCCAAAATTAGGTGGCTGACTCGAAGGAAAAATGGGAACGATTTGTTCGTCCCCACTAGAACGCGATCCGAGCCGCGAGGATCGCTGCTCGATGTCCACGAAGAAAGTGAGTCACAAAGCTCAGTGAGAGTTTAGCTGTATGTAGGATGGTGAACAGCCAAAACTGACCATAAGGACCATCCAACATGGATCCAACTGAATCTGTTGAGGGGCATCCCCCAAATCCATGAGCAGCTGCCTCAACTTGGGTGAGAAGAGGTTTGAAATGATTGTACGGGATGCCAACAGGTTCACTCCAACTTGCGTTCACTCCCAGGCCACTTGCGTTCACGCCTCTCCGGTCAGACCACTTGAGTTAGAATTCCGTGCCCATCTTCGTTGAACCGACCTCCCTCCCCCGCGGGACACGGCGCCTCCGTGCCCACCCGGGTGAAATGGCCCCGGTCACGGCGCCGTTGTGCGCGGCTGCGGAGTCGGCTGCGGAGTCGGCTGCGGGGGGCCGAGGGGACGGATCGTGCCCGGCCTGCGTAGAAAGAGACCCGTCTGGGTATGGAGATCCCGGATACATATATGTATATATACATGTATATATATAATATGCATATGAATACAGTGTGTTATATAAATATATGTATGTATACATATTAAATATCTACCTATATACCCGCCATGCATCCTTTAGCGAAGAATCCAAAGAAAGGAACGTGATACCACTGAAATCAGCATGTGTCCTCCGGAAAGACGCCATAACCATTGGGCAAATTTTTCTTTATCTTCTCTTCGATGGGTTTGGATTGGGATTCTACACCGGATGCAATAATACTGCTGCAACCACCTATACAATTACTAGCAGCACACTAGTTCACTGGTCACTAGTCAGCACAGGATGCTCGCTGGTTGAAGGGAAGGCTGACCTCCTCGGTGGCAAAGCCCTCCCAACCATCCACTTCTTCGGCGAACGACACGTCTGAGGTACTTTGCCAGCACGCGGATGCTCAAACGGAAGGTGTGAAGATCCAAAATGCAGCGAAGATCGTAGTTAGTCAGGAGTCTCTTTGGGTGTCTTTTGCTCCTAGACCATCCAAGGCTGCCTTGTCCAATGTAGGTCTCAATCCCTGAAGGTTTTTTCAGAACCTCTTCCATCTGAGCCACCCGGTGCCTCTAGCTTGGGTGTTCTTAGCGAGTTCACCCCGGTGCCGGCGCCCCGGAGCGGGGTGACTTCATTAGCTCAAGTAGGTTAGCACCAAAGATCCAGACAGCTTGGTGGACACCAACAGGCTGGTCAAGATCAGGTCGGGCTTTAGGGCCAAGTCACATGAAACGGGGGCGGACCTAGTGACCAGGACGCTATGAGGAGGCCATCGCTTACGTAGGTTGGAGGCCATCGCTACTAGTAACAAGAAGCTACTAGTAGCAAGGGTACCTGGACCTGTTCTCATTACGCCTGTTGTGCCACTCCAAGCGCTCGATTCACCACATGGCCGCTGTCCTTGCAGCTGACCCGTGAAGCTGATGACGAACCATCAACAGCGAAACGCACATTCTCCATGCTCAACGCACGCCGCACGCCGCGGGGAACTGGGCGATGTGATGAATCATGATGAATCCATCGTTCATGTTCGGATGCTTCGCTCACCGGAAGGAACGCACGCACTTCAAATCCACCCCCCAAAAAAGGGTACATGAGAGCCTGGAGGCCTTGGTCTCGAAGGAAAGCGATCCCAGATCTTGGTCTACCCCCAAGGAGGTGGTGAGCAAAAGCCCAGTGCAGCCGACACCAAAAGAAAGCCTTTCCTGGATGTCCATGGTGGAAGCTCCCTGCAACCAACCCCTGGCTGAAAATTCACTACCCCATCTACACACCGTAACTAATCATGGGAGGATCTCAGGCCCTGACCCCATCGTCACATCCACATGAATCAACGTCCAAGTCCCAAGGAATGCGGCAGCACCGTCAAGTCTGCTTATCCCCAAACTCCGACTGGGTCGCCATTGAGCAACCCATCTGGCAGTTCTCCGGCGCCGTTCCGCGAGTTCGCTGGTGCAGCTTGCCGCATTCAATCAGACCAAAAACTTGCAGCGTGAATGTGTGTATGTGTGATCGCAGTGGCAAGTCTTGAATAGCAGAAACCTGCTTTCGCCCCCCCATCCTGGTCTGGTGTCCGATTTCGCAGCTTGGCAGCTGCGAAATCGGAGCAACAAAAGACCGGCGGATGTGTCTGACTGTCACCAGCGACCGTGGCAACTACCAGTAGCATTGACACCCGGCAACGACACGTGTCGATAGGGTCACAAAAAGCACCTTGCTTTTCTCCTTCGGCGGCTAAAGCACTATACACAACTCTATACAACTCTAAGTCTAGAAGGTGGGGATTGTTTAGTTCTTAGTTCTTCAATGGCCTAACACCCAATATATATATTATATATATACACCCACATAGCTTAGATATATATGTGCGTGTGAGATTTAAGGTTATAAATGCCTAGTACCTCGTGCGACAACGGCTGTGGCTCATGGCACCCGGACACCCGACGGTTTTTGTCCCACCAACGACCTGGGAGGTCAACCTGGTGAAAGGGGCTCCGGGTGACCCAGAGCCAGCACCAAGCACCATGGACATCCATGGACCACATTTTAACAAAAACACTCCGGAGGTTGCAAAGAAAGAAGGAGGCTCACACTACCATGGAGTGGTACTAAGGCTGGTGATGTGGTGTGTTCGAAGGGACTTGGCCCCCACCTCCTGATGTAGAAACATCAGCGAATAGTTTGTCAGGGTCCCCCCCTTATATAACACTGTCCCAGCTCGTGTCTGCACCCAGTGTCAAGGCTTGCAACGTGGCTTAAGCTTCTTGGAGCCCAAGGCTGCCCTCCGTACCAATCCTCGTGGATATTCATGGGTACTGCCCACAACTACTGCCCCTCCAACTGTCACCTGACTCACGTGCGCCCTTGCCGCGTGCATCGAACGAACACCGATCACCATTCGATGACCGGATGTCCAGCTTCAATGTCCTGTGAGTTAACGTTTCGTGGGAAGCCGCCTTCAAGCGGCGGCTCACCCGCGCCGACCGTCTGGTCACCCGGAGATTCTCTTCTTCGTCTATTCAGTCGATCTTGCAAAACATCCACCAAACGAGGCAACCTCTCAACCACACTCTTCGGTGGCTCGGACGGGACCGCTCCGGTCACGCTGGCCGCTACCTCTGCACAGTTACACCGCACGGTGCGGCTCCGGCCTCCGCAGCGGTCGCTCGCGGCGTCTGTCGTTTCGAATCTCCGCGTTTCGCCGCCAAAGAACGAAACCTTTTCGATGCCCAAGCATCTGCCGCACATCCCTTTTCTACAGTTGCCTTTGAGACGAGTTCCACAAGTTTGTCGCGATCTTGAGACGGTTCTGATGCGAAAAAAACAAATGCGAAGCAAAGCTTCGGCACATTTCCGTGCGGTAGGCGACGTGTAAAGGTTGCCAATTGTGATAGCCTCAATCTACTGCACAGAGTCCCAGAGTGAGGACAACTCAAAGCCAGCTTGCCCATTCACAAAGAAACCAGCCGGCTCGGTTCTTGGTCCCACCATGTTCCATCATGTTCCATCCCACCGGACTTCCACCTCACCCTGCCTCTCTGCACATTGGCTGCCCTGTCCACCCCACCTGTCAATTCGTTGTTGCTTCACCGCGATTGGTGGAATTGGCCGTCCGCTTTGACCGCTCCGTCCGCCGTCCGCCGCGGCCGAACAAATAAAGAGACTCTTTAGATGAAGTTCAGCGCCTCACTTGGATTTGTAACGCCTCTTTCTGTGGCTCGTCTTTTATTCATCCAGAGTCTATAGCTTATGCACATCCGGATGCACATCCGGCTGAGCCTTGGAGCCACCACCGGCCAAACATGAGGATGAGACCGTCTGGTCTAGGGATGGTGTTCTTCTTTCTTTGTTTCTCATAGCGATGGCCTCCAACCTACTAGCGATGGCCTCCAACCTTGAATATCCTTTAAACTGTAGCAAATTACCTTTCTGCCCAAGCAATCCGCATCGAACCTTTTGTCCCGATGCGTCAGCAGTCACAAGCTGGACGGGTCAGTGTAAGAAGCTGAGCAACTTGTCACCGATCACCTTGGACTTTGCGGGCATTTGGAAGAATAAAGGACTCTGGAAAAGGAGGTTCTCCAGCAAGGAAGAATAAAAAATTGGTCTGTCTCAAAAACGCAAGAACTGCAGCTACTGTAGCGGGGGTGTAGGCTAGCTCCCCTTCCTCCAGCATTTGGTTCATGCAGATTTGAGACAAACCCAAATCATCTGCTCAGCAATCTCAGGCCACCCTCATCATATCCTTCCGGACAGCCACCAAGACCACCCCATCGTTCCGCAAGATTGCCATGCCTGTCCTGTCCGGACAGCCATGACTCCATCCGTCTCGTTTCGCTTGAGTGTTCGACCCGTTTCGGAGCAGAGGCTTTAGCGGGGACCCTGTGAAACACAACGTCAGCGGATGATCGAATTCCCACTTCGATCGACGAAATACCGCATATGATATTTATACTATGTTTTATTGTAGTTGATTCATAGGATGTTCTGCTTGAAGGATCTGGAATAGTGGATTCTTCTCCTAACACACCCGTGCTTTCCAGAAATCATCCCTCACGGGCACATGCTTGATTCCCCATAGTAGAACAGGTTCAACTCACCTGCAATTTCCATTGAATAGGTCTTAGCATGTAGACAGGCATACCTTGTTGCACAATGGGCCCCATGGACCCTGAAGCATATCGTACCGAAGGCTCTTAGACTCCTGGCACCCAATTCAATGTTTTGGATGTCCATCTTCAGTGGACACAATCCTTCAAGATCTGAGTCAGGGGGGAAAGCTCTCCGTTCAAACCATGACTGATGTTGAAAGTGTAGAGGATTGAGATTAAGTGCCTCCTTTGAAGTAGTAGTTTGACTATAACTATATATACAAATATATAGTTATATGTTTTGATAAAAACATGACTGATCATCTCACAGTTCTCGATGTTTACCTGTGGGATATCGCCTTGTCATAACACGTTAGGAGAAGCATCTTTGGCAGCTATGATGGCACAAAGGGACCGTGGTCAGTGTTGCGAAAACATGTCTGCTCTCGAAAACATGTCTGCTCTCCCTTCTAATAAAAATACCTTTGACAAGTTGTTCCACTTCGTTCGACATCGGATGGTTGAACAGGGAGGTTGCACCACCACTTCCACCCCCGTGGAGATATGAAAAGCACCGACCGAGGTGGATCGTCCACACCGATCGACCTTCAAATCAATGCATATCATACACCCGGGAAGATCAAGATGGAACCTGAAAATGAACCAACCCAGTGGTCTGAAACGGTTTCATGATGTTTCATGTTGATCTTTCAGGGCGTAGTCGGCGTAGTATTGAAACATCTTAAAACAGCGGTTGGGAGTTGGGAAGGGGAATCCTTTCATATCAAAGGGTGGATTGGACCCGTGCAGGGCCATTGAGCTAATCTGATCTTAGGAAAACCCGAATCCCCCAAACCAGAGTGGCTGTGCGCGGTGCACGCGCCACGCGCTGATCGCGCTGATCTCCGACCAAACGGCGCCTCTCGGCATTCACTTGGCATTGCATCCGCAGGTAGGGCGGCTCCGAGACTTGGAGGATCAAGGTGCGATCTTCCTCTTCGCTGCCCAGCTCACCCCTGCACGGAGTGGACCGGACCGCGGGGCGGAGCGGTTGGAAAGCGGTGGAAAGCGCGGAGAGGACGGCGGTTTCAGCGCCACCAACACGCGCGCCATCTGGCAGTCCTTCTAAGTCATCCAGAGTCCAAGTCGTTTTCATGTCGTTTTCCAAGAGGAGACTGGGAGACACCAAACCTTAGGTTCAGCTCAGAACCTGAAAAAAAGGTCCGCAGTGGAAACCGTCGTTTTGGGGGAATCGTCGGCCAAATCCATCGTTGAAGGAAGATTGGCGGAAAAACACGATGAGAGCCCACTGAGAGGGCTCTGAGAACGATTCCTTCCCTGCAGCCTGCTCGAACGATTCCTTTGCGTCGATCAATCTTGATTACAATCGATTGAACCCATGCGAACCCAGATGGTTGAACCCAAGCTTGGGGTTCTGCCATTGTTGGGCCAAGGGTGGTATGTATATATATATATTATATTTGTGTGTGTACATCTTCCTCCGACGGCAAGTGCCACCCACATTCATTTGTCCTGTGAACGTCCTGCGATCGTCCTCACCAGCACCACACTCAGTCCTCGCCCCGCGCCGGTTTCTTCGCGACATCCCTTGCTCCCTCGGGTGCCTGATGGCCTGCCTCCATTCCAAGGCACCATAGGAGCTGGTCCCCGTCTGAGTGCTGGCGAGGTCGATGTGGCCGTGGGGCACGAAGTATCCTCGGAACTGAAGGAGCCGAAGGGCCGTGGAGACTAGGTTGTACCCGCAGGAACTTGCAAATGGACTCCATAATGCATCGCTTGTATATATATATATATATATTGACATATATACTCATTAACGATCCTCCGGGGAGGCGATTATAGGCGATTTGGGGGTTGAGGCATGTATAGGCATGTCATCTAGAAAATGGAAGCCTGACGGGTCAACGGAATGGTGGCAGTGAGGACTTAAGCCATCGCCAAAACTCCATATGTTGGTATTGCTTTTGGGGGTTCGCTATATCGCTTTGCAGTGTTTCGGATGCCTTTGTCATATTCCTCGAGGATTTCTTTTGAACACATAGCCTAAGTGAAGTGCACATGGATATGGATAGTGGGGGGGGAAAGAAAGAAAGAAAGAAAGAAAGAAAAAGAAAGAAAGAAAGAAAAAGAAAGAAAGAAAGAAAGAAAAAGAAAGAAAGAGGGAAACAGAGAGAAACAGAGAGAGAGAGAGAGCTTTCCATTGACACATCAGCGCTTTCTTCCCCCTTCTATGCGGTTCTTGTTCTAGAGCTCTTCATCTGTGGCAGTCCACAGGCACCGCGAAAATGAAGCGAAAGGGGATCTGCTCATCTAGAACACGTTTTGATCATCCAGGGGTATCGCATTGGTATCGCTTCATGTAAAGGGAAAACCAAGCAAGAAACGGATTTCCAGAGCTTTCGTCTGACAAGGTTGCAAAGTAGATTTGAATCCAATGATTGAAGATGATTGAAGTGTACGTTGTGAAAGTATCGCTCTTGGGTGTTCACTAACGGGTTCTTGTGTGATTTCAATGAAATAGTTCCTCTCACATCAAGTGTTGTGCACAAGCCCAAATCTTGGCTGTTGCTCACATACAGTCCCGAGAGGCTTGCCTAAGCGTCAAGCCCAAACACGCCCGGCCATACACTCCCTGGAACTAACATGGTTACGTGGATGCCATGGCCCCGAGTTCAGAAGACCATGAAATCCACTACCAACAGGTGGTGCCATCCACTTCCATGTTAGTTCCAGGGAGAGTCGTATGTCATCCTCTGACTCTTCTTCTGCCAGCCGTTTCAGCCCTTCGCTTCGTCTCCGGTCGCCGAGTCGGCATCGCCCGGGCGTCCGGTGGAGAAGACCCCGGCAGGGAAGACCAGCCAGCTACCCAGCACCTCCTGCGCCAGGGGTGGCTCCTGCAGGGCGCATGTCACGCAGGTGGATGGGGTGAATGCATGCGTCATCATGCGTCAGCGGGGTCAGAGAAGTCGCAACATCCTGGTATACTTGATCCCGTGCCCTGTGAGCAACATCCTTGAACTGGAACACCTGTGAACACCACAATTCCGACGGGCGACGGTAGACAAGATCCAGGCACCAAACCACAAGAAGATCCTGCACAAGACCAAAGTGTTACCAACCTTTCTCTTTTTTGTTGTGGCCTGGTTGCCCGACCCAACTATGAGCAAGGCAGAAAAGGTGCACCTGCTGGTGATAAGAAGATCCACTTGGACCTTCCTACGGCCAAATCTCTTGCCCAAGTTTTGCTGTCGTATTGCTGATTGATTAAAAAACCTGAGAACCCATTGGAATGACAGGGGCCAGGAGGATCTATCCTCAAGTCGTCTTGGGAAACTGAAGTGGTCCGAAAGCAGCAGGTCTTGGGTTGGCCTGCAAACAGGAACTGGCTCCAAAATGCACCAGAGGTTCTTGAAAGTTCTGAACCCACTGAAAAGCGAATATGCCCACCACATCCCACAACCATCAAAAACCCTTCATCATGGGTTGAGGCCCCAGGTCGGTGGAAAATGGCCACGCACCTACAAGTTCGTCGGGGAGCGATCTGACCTCGCCTTGGTCCTGACTTTCGAGCCAGAGGCGTCAGGCCGACGTGGAGGAAAGGACAAGCCATTGGTCTGGACCCAATGGTCTGGACCCATTGGTAAGGGCCATTGGAAATGGTCCTAGCCATTGGCGTCAGGCCACTTGCGAGAAAGTCTATCTTCTAAGTGGCCCGGCTTCACCCGCACGTTTCGTGCGGATGACCTCCGCCTTGCACGCGTGGCACGTGCTTTGGCCTTGCCTCCTTCTTCGTCCTCACTGGCTCCAAGACCACCCCCTCCCAGTCAAGCACCTCACCCGACAGGCACGCGACTGGGGGACGTGAACACCTCGACTTCCCAGCTGCGGCATCCCATGTGTTCAAAGACTGATCAATTCCAAGCATCCCCCCGTCCACGGCGGTCAATGGCATGCAGGCTTTTGACGTCACATCAGGCCTTTTTTTGATGGCATTCCGAACTCACATCCATGTTTCTGTTTGGAATGACTGGTTTGAAGTGGGCCCACCCTCCCCCCGTTCCGCGGCTCCGCGGGAGCCCGCGTTCGAACCTCCGCCGCGCCGGGCGCCCTTCCGCCTCCGTGCGTCCATCGTAGGACCAGGGCGGCGCACGGCCCACGTAGCGTTTCAGCGTCGCTTGGCCCAGTTGCAGGACCTCGTGCACCGCCTGCGACGTGGCAGGGCGACGGAGGATGCCTCCCCACAAACAATAGAGGGTCCAACTGTGCAAATGTTCTGCCTTTTTCATCCATAGAACCAGCCAAAAGGCGGAAATGTTACGTAGGTTGGAAGAATCCAGGTTGCAAACAATGGGTTTTGAGGAAGGGTTCGGATGAGGATCCTTGGGACCTTGGACCTTTGGGGAGGCTTTGCTGGTCCAATTCAGGCCTATGACATGACATGGCCCGGATGGAGCTACGAGCCTTGAGAAGGGCATAGGGGCATAGATCGCTGGGATCCATCAATCTTGCCATTCAGGTCTTCAGAATGGATTGGGGGCCGCATCACCTTTCAGCAAAAATGGATGTCCGTGGTGTTGCTTGAACATGATCAGACCCCCTCCCTGCTCGGACACCATCCACCTGGTGCACTCCAGTGCGGGTGCCATAATCATCCAGCACGATGCTGTGCACCTGCGAGCACACAGGGGACGGCGGGAGACCCAGCGATGCAGGACCACAGGAATCTTTGGATCATCATTTGATCAGGAACGGTGCAGGGTGGCGCGGTACATTGATCATCATTGATCATCACTGATCCGAACCTGTGTGGCAAGGTTCTCTGGCCGTTGGTGAGGCTTGCCTGCTTTAATGGTTGCGAACAACACTTTAACTACCCAACATTTCGGAACAGAATTAATTTTGCTACCAGGTAACGGTCGCCCCAGCCATCAGGAATTATGCATGAACAATCCTTGTCTCTGCTCGCACCTTGCATGACAAGCTCTCAATGGAACGCGTTGTGATTGTGACAGTTGGCTCAACAACACGGTCCGCCAAAAAACGTTAGAAAAAGAGAGTCCAGTTCACACCACAACTGCAGCGGCACCACCCCGCAAACAGCATGACATCTGAGCTGGCTGGGCATCCCGCATTGGTGGCCACTTGCCTGTCATCGCAGATGCATCCTGCAGGCTGGCTCTGCCCCTACACTCCTGGTCGTTGACCATGAAAGTAGGCCGTCCGAAGACCTCAGTCCTCTGCAAGGCCCTCTGGCATGAATGACCAAAAGGGCACCACGCATGCCATACCAAAACATTAACTAGGCATTGACAGCTGGCCACTGAAAGCTGACAATAGGTCAATAGGTTGCCGTCTGCTGCACAATGGGCCTATTTAAATCGCCCTAAATCCCTACACGCCGGACAGCAGCACAGCGAAAGAGTTGCTGGTCGGGAGAATTTTTAAGTGTTAACCATCATAACGGTACTTCTGTTTGGCGCACAGTGGACATGTAAACCTCGGCCAAAAACCCTCGTCACTCGAAAGGTGCCGAAACAGCGAACAGTCAGTTCGCGGCTCGACCGAAACGGGGGTGTACATGTGCCCGCTTTCGTGGGATGCGAAAGTTGTTATTTTCAGACTGCGAAAGGGAAAGGAGAATGACAACTGGTTGAGTCCGTGGGCTATACTTTTTGAATCATGTTTCATTTTCTGGATTTGGTTCTGGCGTTGGAGAGGTGGTCCCGCGTTGGAGGGCACATGGTAGGGTGATCCTTCAATGCCCCTGGATGGGAAGGAAAGTGCTGCAAGAACAAAATTTGGGGAAGCCCAATTCTACGGCCATTTGGGGACCTAATCCATTGGAATCTATTTCCTGCTCTGTGTGCCTGTCACAACTTCATGCCTGAATATGCTTGACTGAAAGATAGGACGCGATGCCAGCTCTACCAGTCTGGTTTGGTGGTTGTTTGGCGAGTCTGACATGGTCTTTTTCAACACGGATTGCAGCCTCTGCATGGCCTCAAATTCAGGCCTGACTGGCCCCAACTCCTTCAATTTACATCAATTTACCTCTTTTCAGCTAAGTTGGTAGACAACAAAAACCTTCAAGTAAGTCCAGGTACGCCTCAATGCATTCTGAAGAGGCACGTCTCGGGTACACCTCAACATGCTGGCAGGCATTCTATATGGTAGTCTTTGTCAGGCATTCAATAATCTTTCAGTCCGGTGTATCTATATATGTATATATCATGATTATCATATATCCTAAAATTGTTCTAAAAGTTTTTTTGCTAGCTATATTCTTGGGTTTGGTGCATGAGCCTCATGAACTGTCCATGTTCATGCTCAACCCCACGCCAAAACAAACAGCAACCATCCGCACCAACCCGGCTCCTGCGGACTTCTCCATCTTCTCCGTTCTCCAGTCGTCCGGAGACATGACCTCCTTTTTCGAACCACCGTCTCACCCCAATTTCTTCGGCTCTCCGGTGGGTTTATCACGGGCGCCCCAACGCCCGAAACCCACAGCCTCTGGTAAGGCCAAAGCCCTGTCCAGGTCGTGCCGGACGCTGGCGTAGTCGTGGGCCGCGTCGATGAAAACCGCCGAGATCCTGGTGGACGCGAACGTCGTCCAGTCGTCCAGGACGCTGTGGAACCTCGGTGCACGCAGCGTGGGAGAGCTGGCCACTTGGCCGCGTTTGTGTTGGGGCCATTGAAGGCGGCCATTGGAGATCTGGGAGGTCTGATCATCTCCTTCTCGCGGATGAGTGAAAGGTCAAGACTTTTCCTTCCAGGCCACCAGCCCTTGGGGTAGGCCAAACATGTCCGGATCCGGCCGGTCCCAGGTCGGTCCTGCTTCACCCCTCACCCGTTGCACCGTTCACCACGAACCCGCTGGCCTCAAGTAGACCACGTTGGCCAGGTCGGCGTTCCGCTGGGCGTTCTGCTTCAGCACGTGCGGGGAATGCTCGAGTGCCAGCACGGTGCGGAAGAGCCGCGCCAGAACGCCTCAAGAGCGCTCGGGGAGCAAGGAAATCAAACAAAGCACGGGGGCATGGAGGCAAGACACAACTTTGATAACTTTGTAATGACTTTGTGATACTTGGTAGATGTGCCACAAACACCTTGTGGCGTACATTTGTTCAGACCCTGATATACCCTGACATAAGAATGAATGGAACCATCTCTCTTTGTTGATCCTTGCCGCCATCCGTTCTGGCTTCACGACTTCTGGGCACGGTTCCCTGACCCTGACCTCAAAGGAGTTGCAACCTCTTCCGTTCCGCTACGTCGTTCCCACAGGTCGTTCCCTTCCAACTGGTGGTTGCCACTTTTGGTGGTGAAAATTAAGCATGTTGGGGGGGCCTTCAAAGGAGTTGCGGATAGTGCGCGCTCTAGTGTGCACTCTTCCCTGACGACTCTAGACCTAACAACGCGGTCGTTCCAACGATCGGCATGAAAGTGCCGCCGTTTTGAATGCAGCTGCTCCAAGAGTCCGCGCTCATCCGACTTTGAGATCTCGGGCTCAATCTCTCAAAAAAATGGACTGGACCCAACAGTTCTAGAGGACGCCAAACCCACCAAAACGGACCCCAAGTTCCCAAACTGCCAAACCACCCTCCTTCCTCATCTTTCCTCCTTCCTCCTTCGAGGGTCGAGTGCAATGGCCGAGGTGGGCCCCCACTTCGAGCACCTGTTCCTCAGAGCTGTTGCTGAACAAGGCCACCAGGTCGCGCTTGAACTGGGACCTGGGCGCCGAGATCTCGTCCTACGCCAGCCGGGACGGAAAAGAAGGCACACAAGCCATACGTATGGCCCACATACAGTATGTTAATACTAGGCCCACTCTAGTAAAAATATGTAGAAATACTCCTCTCTCTCTCTGAGCTAGCTCCCTCCCTCCCTCCCTCTCTCTCTGTGGAAGAAGCGGCTCTCTGGCACCTCTCGTCACCCCCCTTGCCGTCTCACGGCTCGATGCACGTCGTCGCGTCGTCCGTTCCCCGAACACCGCGCGAAGAGTCGGGCAGCTCGGCCCGGAATTGAATACATATAGATAGATAGATAAAATAAGATTAGATTAGATTATTAGAAGTAGAATCAGATTAGATTAAGAGTTAGAATTAGAATAAGAATTAGAATTAGATTAGAGTTGATTGATAGATAGACAAGAAAGAAAGAAAGATAGTTAGATAGAAAGATAAATATGTAGATATATAGATAGAACACCTAAAAATTGCGTGACAGGTTCTTCAGCACTAAAAGGGGGATCCAAATCTGCCGCAACTGCCTTTAATTTGTCACCACCTGCTGCCTTCACCTGAAAACCCGTGAGCATCCCCTTCGGACTTCAGGCATGAGCATAATGTAGACTCTTGATCAATCATGCCCCCCCACAACAGGTGTCTCAATCCAAATGGATCCAAATGGGGGGTACAGTATCTGGTATTCATATTGTTGATTCAACCCAGATTTCACGTCAACGTCTCGGATGCTTCCCCGCTCCGAGCCCGCGCCAAGTGTCGAAGTCGTCCAGGCATCGTCGTTCTTGTCGTGCAGCACCTGCAGGTCGAAACATCCCAAACCCGTCGTCCAAGCAGTGAGAGGCAGGACGAGTGCCAGTGCAAATGAGTGAAAAATGAACCGAAATAAAACTCACCTTGAAACCCGGATCACTGGACTGGAATGGATGTTTTCGGACATGGACTTGCTCAATGGGCGCGGTTCTTTTCCCGGACATGCCCAAACCTCGCCTACGTCCCTCGTTTGGTGTTTGCTTTGCCGCTGTGCTTTGGCGTGCGCCCGACGTTCCAGAAATCGACACAAACAACTGAGTTCCAAACGTCCTTCTCTAGCCTCAGAAGAAGAAGCAGTTTGCCAGGCTCAGCTCGGGAAATGGTGGGGAGAACCCCAAACAAGGCCTGTCTGAAGGACGTAGGGGGAAGTCTCCAAGGACGTGGAGGGTTCTCCCAATGGGAACTACCAGGCCTTGGTTCTTGAAGGAAACTCAAACCGATATAGCTCTTTAATTAATCTAAAAACCTACGAATCCTGGTAATTGTTCTATCCAAGGAGCCATCCAGCAATGCCTTCAAAACTAGGAACGGCGTGGCAAGTCTCTTGCTGTCCTGTGGGCTGTTCTTTGAGGACGGCTTCCCGGAGGTCATCGCCCAGCGAAACACTAGGGTTCGGATGCTTGGCGGCAACAATACAGGCTTTCAGTTTCAGAGCATCAAGCTTGGTGGGATGTTGCTTTAAACTTTACACGTACCCGTTGAGGAAGAGGGGGGGAACTTACCCAGGGTTGATGGCACCTGGTTGTTTGTGCCAAGCAACGCTGCCATATCCAAAGAGCTGTGCAGTTGGGCCATCAGCGCCCACAACAGGCATCTCATTGTCCATCACAGGCCAAGCTTCGCAAAGTGCATGGGAGCAAGCTTCGTGGTTCATGGAACAAACCAACAATGTCGAACCAATTCCTGAAACAAGTTGAAAAGAATGTCTGTCGGGGCGATTTCTCATTCACCAATGTTTTTGACGTACACACCTTTCAAGCCTTTCAAGGAGCTCCTCTCTACTATGGCACTATGACTATGGTGATGAGGTTCATCTACAGCCCATTGAGTCGAACCATTTGGGGGGGCGGGTGGAGCATCCGCTAGTTGGACCTCATGGTGTCTTTATGAGAGGGGGCGCCCGTCCATGGCCGCGTCCTGAGCGCAAGGCGTCCGTTGTTGCCATAGGAGTCATCTTTTGGCACGGGATCCATCATGAGATGCTCCGGTCCCGAGTATAAAATCAGTGAAAACCATGAAAAGCCTTAACTACCCTTCTTTGAAGCCGCTTTGGAACTTGGCCAGTTCCGAGTTTCGGAACCCTCCGTTGTGCACTCGGGTCTTGATGCTGTCAGACGGGCCATTTCTTGATGGCCCTGTGGTTGCACTCATGGGCTGGCGCAAATCAGCAAGCTCACGGTCACCGAGCCAACCATGGGCGCGGCGTGGCGTCGCGAGTTTTCCCCCATGGCGACCTCCTGGTGGCCCACCACCAGGCGGAATTCGATCCCCCAGGAGCTGTGCAGCTGTCGCACGAGGTTCAACGGGTGACCAGCTGAGGCGGAGAGCACCGGTGGTTTTCCGGTACAGTAAATCCATTGGGTCGTATGCATCGCGGTGGGAGCCACGGTGAATTCCTTCTGTATCTACTGGCCTGCTTTAGAAGAGGGAGGCCCTCAAACCACAGGTGTTTTTTTTAATATAGTCTCTTTTGCTCTTCCCAGAATCTTCCCAGAACACTTCCGCAGGCCTGTGCTCTCTCCTTCCAAACGCTCTCCTTCCGGGCCTGCGGTGCTTGCGCGATCGACACCTGGCCAGCAGGTACCAGAACCGCCGTGCCGCCTGCGGCCATCCAGTCGGCCATCCAGTCGGCCTGGCAGTGCAAGCAATGGAACAGGAAATCCACGAGCAAAGTTTCACAGCAGTAGTTGGTTGATATATACTGGATTGCGAGGACCAATGGCACGCACAAGGGCCCCCAAGTTGGGTGGTTTGGATGAACCCCCCCATCTAAAGGACATCATGGGGTCTGTGCCATGTAATCTGAAACCACTGTAAGCCTTTTGGCTGGTCATGGCTGGTCGATTTTTTCGGGAGTCATGGGTGTGTCTCAAAATACCTCCCCGCCACTAGGTGCGATGCCTGTGTTCAGAACAGGTGGCAGCCCCTCCAAAACTCATGTCATTGATTTTCCCTGTATATACATGGCTGATGTTGTACTTTCATTTTGGCTTCCCGGCCATGCGCACGTACGGCACGTACTGGTAAGAGTGGACACACTGGTGCATAGCGGCAGCGACATGCCCCTTCAAGCAAGTGGGACAGTAGGAGCGTGAAATTTATCGACTCCCTTCAATAGTGCTATGCTTTGGGTCTATCCTGATACCTGTAACAGTGGATGATGATGATGATGATGATGATGATGATGATGATGGTTCGTAAAGGCCTTGTTCAAAAATAGTGATAATTGTTTACTGACTGTTACAGGCTATAGGACAGACCCTAGCCGTGCTCCATGTTTTTTCAATTATGCGGGCCACAAGTCGGTGGAGCCGGGTTGCGGGCCACATGCGTCGGCCCCGGACAAAGAGACCAATCCCTGTCATCGAGGGATCCACATGACCAACTCCAGAATCCAATGGATTCATTTGTTCAAGCCTTTTAATTAAGGGCTGGGCATAGTCACATGGTGCGGGGAGTCTCAATGATGCGTTGTCCGACCATTGTCCTCTTGCAGGCTCCACTTCCACCACATCCACCCAAGACCAGCGACCTGACCTCTGGCTGCCCGCTGTACCATCCAACACCTTGGCAGGATCCAGCAGCAGGGCCCCAAGACCAACACTTACAAATGAAGTAGTTCGAAGTAGACACAGGCCAAACTACCTTGCTTCAAACAATTTCTGCGAATGCATTCTTGGCCTTCCGAGCCATCCCAAAGCCCAGGTTGGCAGAAAATAATCCAAATACTGAGCGTATTCTGGAAAGAGGAGTGCCTCTCTCCCTCAGGTCACTCCCATCATGTGCATCAAGAATTTGCTCTGACGTATGTTGGCAAAAAAAAGAGAAATGGTGTAAAATGCAGGAAGGTCTTAAAGACCGAATCTTACATGACTGGGTTGCTATCATGAAGCACATGTAGCCGGCTGGATAGCACTTGCAGCACTTGAATTGAATTGTGGACAGCTAGTTCATGCCGAATTTTGTTACGTCCGAGCGCACTCTCTCGGCGACCTTTCCGGAATAGGAAGCCCGGCCGGAATAGACCGGCGCCCAGGGGCCCTCCTCATAGCCCGCCTCTGACCAGAGCAGCTCGGCCCATCACTGGAAGTTGCAAAAAGGAATGTCTAGTGTGGAGGAAAACCTACTGAAGCGTCTCATGTTGCATCTGGTCGTGATCACATGTGATCCATGTTGGGAAAAAACAGAGATGACCACGGCATCGAACATGGGCGCGGACTGGCAACCATCACGGTTGCCACGTTCGATCCTGTCGGATCACCTGTCGGCACCCTGTAGGGAATGACGGGATGGTCCATGAACACCTCCACTCCTAAAAACCACTGCTCAACACGGTCGGTGCTTTTTGTTGCGTCTGTGGTGGCGAACTCGCCCACCCACACCCATCTGCTCTTCCCATTCATCGTGACACGGATCTCCGTTTTACGTTCTGTGTCCTGCGTCCTTGCTGGCGGAACCCACCGGTCCGGTGGTGTTGAACCCCACCGGACACCCTCCGGCCGGTGTCCACCGCCGGGGGGCGCCCAGCGCCGCCGACCGAGGCCATCGAACCGGGGCACCTCCATGGCTTGCAGGGTGGCGAGGCCATGGGCGCGGTACGCCGACAAGCCTCCAGCGGTACGCAGCGGTAGCTCGGCGGGCGGTCTAGGGCGAGCGGAATACGGCGCCCCCGCCGCAGAAGGTGGGGTTCGGAAAAGCCCGCGTGGGGCGGGTTAGAGAGCCAATTGGAAGATGTTACTGAGGGTGTGGGGTGTTTCTAGCGGCTACTCTACAAACTTTGGGGGGAGTGCTTGTTAGGCGCACGCCATCCAACCACACCCAGCATTGGCTTAGGGCGAGAGTCTTCCAGGTGTCCCTTTTTGGTGGACCTTCTGCAGGCAGTGGTCAATCACCGCGAGTAGTGGGTTCATCTTAGTTCCTGGAAATCTCGCAAGGCCCATGGAGTTGGCGAATCTAAGAGATTTCCCTACAAGACCACCACTCCACTCTCCGCTCAAATCCGCTGGTATCCAGGCACCGGATTTGTTTCAAAAGATGTGTCGCAACATCCGTCTGAAGCGCTGGCGATCCCGCGGGCGTCTTGCATCAACGGGGTCACGAACGGTCCCCGGCCTGCGTCGCCCTGTCGGTCGCGACGGTCCAGACCTCGCCATAGGGAGCTGGGTTTGTCCTCGGAAGCTCTGCTTGTCGATGGCGCCCCCCCAGAGGTCCCGTGGCCCGCGGTCTTCAAACCAAACCTTTCATAAATCGATAGATCTATATACTCACTCTCAAGGCCTCTGCTCGATCCAAGAGGCTCTATATAATGGACATTGGCATGAACATTTAGGCCTACCCTCCAGGCTGGTCAAGGGAAATCGGAAAACAGCCTGGCATGCCACGGGCCATATCCCCGTTCGCCATGGCGCATGCATCTCGATGGCTTGCAGGGTCGCTAAACCTCGAGCTCGATAGGCCGCAAGACCTGTCCGATGGGCTGAGGCATCGTGTTTTTCGGTGCAGTGGGATGGGTCCAAAACGGAAGGGAACCAAGCATCGCCTTCTGGCCGTTTTCTTCTGGCAGTTGGTGCCTATATTTCCCTTTGGCCTCTTCTTCCTTCGCGCCTTCGTTGTTTGTGAGTTCTTCGGTCAGTCACAGTCACCTTGAGCTATTCATATCCTTTTCCGTTGTTTGACCTACACCGAATTGGTGTATCATCGGTTCACCCCCGAAGTTCCGACGCGTTGAACTCTCGGAAGCGACGACCGCAAACAGCACGAAGCGACATCACCACGCAGTGCGAAAGAACGAAGGATGCGAAGGGTTGCTTCATATTTGACTTCCACGAACGGCTGAAAGAACAAAGGGCTGTGATGTTGTGGTTCCTTGTATTGGGATTTGTTTGGGGTGGCTCGCTATGGGGGAAGTTTAAGCCAGCAGTATAGTTTTCTGGTGCTGTGGGTGCTTGGGTTTGGCTCAAGTTCGGCTGTGGTTTAGTTTTGCTTTGGGCCCGGTTGCCGGGGAGAGGGCGCAGGGCCTCTAATCTAAAGCCACCCAAAAGCGACAAAAAAAACTAGTAACAAATAGCTACTAGTAGTTTCCTGCCACTTGTTACTAGTAGCGCACTTGTTACTACTCACAAAAACTATATATATATATTATATCAGAACCTCGAAATCCAACGAAACCCACCAGAACCAAGCAAGCCATCTAAAGCCAAGCCAACCCAAAGTTAGGTTTCCAATGTCACGGTAGCGGCTCATTAGCGGCAGATGGCAGCAAAAACACTGACCTCAGCGTTTTCTGGCTGCGCAGTCGTCCTAGATGTCGTTAGCCTCTGTGCCAAACAAAGCTTCTGCCCGTGCACGATTTTTTTCTTTCAGGGGCAGGGTCCTCGGCCGACAAGCGCTTAATATTTTCTGCAAACTTTGTCAGCCTCGCCTTGGGCAAATCTTTGGTTTCTCCCCGAGCTTCGCCTTCGAAAAACTCAACACGACACTTCCTGCTCAAAACTTGCACGACCCTGGCTTTCTTGTCGCGCTAGCGCTCTTTGCGAATGGCTGAGATGGTTTTCACCACCTCACACACAACAAATTCAGGCTCCACCGGCGCAGCCGTCTCACTGCCAGTCTTGTTCTGAGTGTTTCCTGCTGGCCATCCTTGCTGTCAGTGTCCTTCGTTCCCTTGGCCTCCCTCACCTTTCCCTTCATGACTTGCTCATGGAACTGCCGCAGGAAGGCGCATACTGGATCTTTGCCTTTAGACACCACCGCGAGACCAAAAGTACGTAGCATGGTCTCCATGGTTTCCTGTCAAGTGGTGTTGGCGATATTATAGAACAAGCTGTGCGGGGCTTTGTTTTGAAGATGACTAACACTAAAGGGCACGTTGTCTCCCGAGACCTGCGTTTCCAGACCGAGACAATTCCTTTGGCACAGTATGCTCAAAGAAAGGAGGCAAGGGCAACTTTAACGAGGCGCACTCTCGAAAGCGAGCTTCAAACATGATCTGTTGTCGATCACCAAGTTGCTTCTTGAGCATTGTGGCAGGAGACAAGTAAAGAGCGGGCCACGGCGTGCCGCACAGCGTGCTGCATTGTGCTGCCCGTGGCAGAACACTTGGACAGCGAGCAACCGCCAATGCCCAAATGTTCACGAACGTTGTTTAGAAAACTTCTGCGAATTCTCTCTGGTCGGCTTGAAAAACGCAAGTAGAGACCAAAGCTTGGTTGGGCATTCCAACACTTAGACACTTCTGGTAGCGAATCAAAAGGTGGCTTTGCGTCAGCAGCAACCCCTCAAAAGAACCCAAAACGTCCAAGCGCACCAAAGTCTGGAACAATCTTCGGTCTTGTCTTGCACTTCTCCTCGTCCAAGTCGAACCAAAAGAGGTTTCTCTGTGGATTGGGTCTTCTGAGCCGAAATGTTCACAGCATAGTTTATTAACTGCAGGCAAAGCACGGCCCGTCGTAGGCTTTGCTGTGATTCTGCGTTCGGCCGTGTTGTCGTGGTTTGAAACACTGCGCTCGGCAAACCCAAGGCCTGCATCAACCAAGTTTGCGAACACAACTTCCAAATAACCAGAACCTGGTTATAACCGGCTTCTCTTCGCAACAAATAAGCCACTTGTTCAGCGCGCGAAAAGCCCAAGCAACTATGGCAGCCCTTTCCCGTACATCACCAGCGGCCTGTAAAAATTGGCATGCTCTCTGAGGTTGCCATTGAAAATATCCGTGACAGCGCATAAAGCCTCTTCCTCATAGAGGAGTTGCAGGTCCCAAAACAACCTGTGCCCTGCTGACCTTGCATGTAAGGTATTCTCTTTTGTTTTGGGTGTGCAGCAGCCATCAAGCAAATTTTGTTGCACAGGCAGCGATCCAAGGCAGACGGCGCAACGATGAGAAGGAACAGATCAAGCCAAATTGTAACCGGTTGTTTCGGCATTTGATCCCTGATTAGACGGAGGAATTGCCCAGCTTGTTTTCCTTTTTGGACCGGGAGATGAGGGTCTTCCCTACTTTGGGGGTCAAGACATTCTTTCTCTTCAAAGCCCCAAAGAAGCCCGCAGCCGCTTTGCTGCAGCAAGGCTTGCGCTCACAGACTCTGATGTCAGAAGATAAACAAGCCTCAGCTGTTCCCAAGTGTCATGCACAAGCAATGCCCTGATAAACTTCCATGACTGTGACAATGGGAGATTGACAAATAGCATCCGCATCTTTGCACGCCAGTGGTATCAATTCCCAAAAGAACTCTTGAAGAAAACCTGCCTGCCGCAGTGTAACGACATGAGTTTGTATTTTGCTGGACCGACCCCTCACAAGTCTGTCCACATTCAAAGAGGTGAAAGACCGCATGCGCATCAAAGCCTCATCATGGATATAAAAAGGGAATGGGCTTCCTGATCTTTGCTCCACAGACCACTTGCACTGAACAGGGGCACACTGGTAGCCAAAGCCTGCCTAGAAGTCTTTTCGAGAATTTCTCAAAAAGCATCACGCACAGGGCCGATGTAAGATTTGCTGATTGCTTTGACCTCTTCTTCCGGGAAATCCCAGCAAAGAAACTCTCCAATGATTGCATTGATATCTTTGGATCTGCGATTTCGCTCGGACAGGCTAAATTGACCCTATCCTACGCGCAATCTTGCGAGCTTGCACTTCCGCCACGCGTCGCCGCAGCAGAGCGCATTGGAAAGTGAATGTTGTCTTTGTTTCTGCAGCTTCCGCACGAAACCGGAATCATGAGATGCTGGCTCCTTCCGCCCTCCCATCCGCCATGACTTGCCAGCTACAATTCTACACCTGTGCTGTGCCATGTGCCATAGAACATATCTGTGCATTCTGCCATCAGGCTAGTACTACTGGTAACATGTGAGTGATCCTTTCCATGAACATGTTCTTGGCCTATTGAATGTTCTCAATCACAATTCAGTCTTCTTTTGTTCGCTTCTACCTGCCACCAGCTGATCTTAACATAGCAGAAAAGACATGTAGCAAGGCAGAACAAGGCTTCCATTGTGCAATTTACAACCAAAGCCACACAAGCCACCAAAAGCCGCCGAAGTCAAAAGAGAAACCACCGAAGCTACAAAGACTCCATAGAGGCAACAATCATATACAAACAAGAACTCAACCTAATAGCAATGGCCTCCAACCTGCTAGACATGGGCTCCATCCACAAAGAAACAATAAAAATTCAAGAAAGAAATTGCCCTCCATAGCAAATTAGCTGAAGTGCCCAACACCGAGAAGTAAAGCAATACCAGGAATGGACTGCAATTTCTTATTGTCTGTTTGGGGGCCACTATACATCATCGCGACAGTCGCGCAGCTCCCCAAAGGCCCTATGTTCCCTCAGCCTGAAAAGGCATCACGGTATATATATAATATACATATAGTATTATGCTACAGTATGCCATCGTATGCATTACAGTGCATTGCTCTCTTCATCTCACCGCTAGCTCAGCTCTGCCTCAGCTACGACACTCAGCACGCTCAGGTTTTCCCCGCGCCTGAGGACACGGAGTCTCCTTCAGGGCGACAAGGTAGAAAGCCCAGCCTGGGAACGACACGGAGCTGCCAGGCGTCCGTTGAGACGACCTCTGTTCGTCCTGGCCCCAGTGGGATGATGATAGGCCTGTGCGACCGAAAAACGATATATCTAAAATCGTCACAATTGTTGGTAATGGGACATCCCCAAGCTCTCCGTCCAAATCAGCCAAGGAATCGACTGCTAGGCTCGAGTTTCGCAAGTCGTCAATTGAGACTACGTCAGCAGCGCGGTTAGGGTCTTGAACCCAAGCATAGCATCACATATAATATAACATCATATAACGATATATCAAACACATATAGAGTGTAGAAATATATATATATACTGTATATATCATATGACATGTAATGTCTGTTTATATCACACAACTGACATCACTATTTGTCATTCGACGCTCCCACAACTGGAAGACACTTAACAAATGCCTTATTTAAAAAAAAAAAAAAACACACACACACACACTACTCGTGGCAACTGTTGGGGAATGAGTGTAAGCAGGACGCATTACATCATGTTCAAACCTCGTAACGGACCAAACCATTTCTGCCGTGTCGCTGGTTGCTGTCTTTCTTCTTCTCCTTGCCTCTGGTGCATTTGAAGCGCCTGGGCCGCCTGGGCATTCTTTCGGCCCTCCGAACCCGGAACCCGCTGGACCTGGCCTTACGGACCGGGCAGACCACAGCAAGAGGCTGAATCGAAGGGCCTCTGGATCCTATTTGTGCCCCCTCCTGGTAAAGGCGACTGGAGATGGAGGGGAAGGTTCTCCGGCACCCACGTAGAGACTCAAATATGGGTAAGCTAAGAGCTCTAGCGTGACAGCCCTAAAATAGGCGCAGTATTATTTACTGTATCTATACCATACTAATATTCATATATATATATATGTATATTATGTGTGTGTGTCATTTACACCACCTCACCCACACACTGTCCAAAATGCCTCACTCCTCCAAGTGCTTCCGGAACCCATCTCTTCATGCTGCGAATGTTTCTTCGCCAGGTGACGAAGGATCCTCGATCAGCTTATCGACCTCCTTCTCAATATCAATGGTGTACCTTCGGAGCTGCGTGATGCGTGATCCCGGTGCGCCGATTTGGGATGCGACAACGGGAACCTCGGACGAGCGTTGCCTCGGCGGGAGTCGAAGATGCCTGCCATCAGTTCGGGGTGGCTGAGGGGCCTGGAGGCTCAAAGGAGAGGAGCTGCATCTGGGCTGCTTATGGCAGCACAGTACACGTGGCGAAGCTCAATCATCCGAATCTAGGAAGATCGACATGAGTAGCTACCGTAGAGAACCGAATCGTATGATCATACGCCATGATGTACCCAAAAGATGCATTGTAGATGTCCTTCACCCCCTTCGAGGCCCGAAAAGCACGAGTCTGGGTGTCTGGGTAGGAGTTTGGGAGCTGGTCTGTTCGGCCCAGCTGGCTGGGAAGATCTCGCATGTACTTCGCCTCGGACACTCTGCCAAGACACTCTGCATCTGCTCTGGTGGTGCAGGTGCTTGTGCAACTGCCATCTCCCTTCAGTGAGCCTTGGTTGGGAACACGAGAGTGTTGCCACTGGGGAGGGGGACGGTCTCCAGTAAAGAGATCTGCGGTCTGCCCACCCGCATGGCATTCCCATCTTGCGGCCAACTCCGCAAGCACCGTCCGCCTTCAGCAAGCACATGCAGGCGGTTTTTTGCCCCTGGTCCATCGGATGCATACCGCACAGAAAGATCTATCATTAGCTTTCTCGGAGAGAAAAACACATCTTTCACAAACAAATGGGGATTCATCCAAGGCAGTCGATATGACCATACCGCCTATTAACTTGGTGTTTACGTTTTTTGAACCCCCTCTTCTATTCCTCACACCCGTGGGCATTTGCATGTCCCACGCCGTCGACCTCTCCAAGCAGCTGGAAGCACCATCGGAGTGGCGTGCGTCAGCAGCTCCCTGGCACCAAGCCACTTCGCCAAGCTTCTCTTGATTATATAACAACCCTCCCCATATGAAGAGCTGCTCGGAAGGCCCTTGATTTTGCGGTTAACCCTGGTGAGTATGATGTGCACCTCAATCACGCATGGGGTAAGACAATGCCTGCAGGGGCCATCACAGGCGTTCAGCTCTGGCGATCCGACCATGCTTGGGAAGTTTCTCGGCGTGTCTTCAAAGCGGGACTACATGCTTGGGAATTTGCTTTACACTCCCGAAAACTAACATAGACCCTGACAATGGTCCCATGGAAGACTATATTCCTTTACCATCTACCAACCAGGGGTTTTCAGGTTCCTTGTTAGTCTTCCAGGGCGTAACCGACTTTCCACCTGACTTCGCTTCTTTCTTTTCTGTATAGTGGAAATGTTCGATTGCTGCTTAGTGGAATGCTAACAGCACCGCTTCTGACCGAGGGGGGTCCTTCCGAAACGCGACGGGTAAGAAGAGCTTTTACAATCCCATTGGGGATGTTTATCCATAGTCTACCTTATGGTGGATCCTTTGTTTCTCAAACGCTTCACCCATTCATACATTATTCATACCACCTCTTCGGCTCATCCTTTCGCTACAGCCCATGGTTTTCTCCCGTTTCGGGCTCATCAAGGCGGCACCTGTTGCTGGGCCGCTGCGAGGTCCTGCATGCGATCCACCTCGGCCGTCGGTCTCCAAAGAGATTGTAGTGAACCCGTGCGAATTCTGTGCAACATGTTAGCTCCTAGCATTACTACTAGGAACAAGGAGCTACTGGTAACAAAGGGCATAGCGAGAGCTGTTGATGTATAGCAGGTCTTCGATTCCAGGACCTCCTTTGCACATCCTAAACGACCACACACGTGCCGACAAGGCCAATGGCAATGGCCCATGAATGCACCGCGCAATCTGAGCCTTCCGCTAAACACCAACGTGGTGCGAGCGGGAAAAAGCACGTGGCATTGCACGGTTCATTGACCTATGTTCTCTTCTGGAGCCAGATCCGTCGATGTGCGGCCCAGTTCCGTCGCCTGCAGTTCTTCGACGTACTCACACACTGACACATGAGGAAAATCCGCAGATCGGTAACATGTTGGGTCTGCCGGCCGCAATGAACAAACAGACCTGGTCAGGAGGAAGCACTTCTGCTGGGTGCTCCATTGGAAAATCATTGAGGTGAGAATCGGTCGCCAATGGCAAAGAAGCCTGGAAAAACCCTCGATGAGATCAAGCAAATGAACCCCACACCCAGCCGAGGAGACCCGAAAATCTAAGCACTTGGTCGGGGGAGACCCGTTCTCCGCTACGTAAGACGGGAACGTGACCTCTTTGAGCGGGTTGATGGCTGTACGTTGATGACAGTCTCCATTTTGTCATACAAGTGAGATGGTTATATGACCAACTACCAGAACTGCAGGTAGCTTATTATAATGCAAGTGCAATTCTGTGGTGACCAACTATACTCCTACAACTTTGATCATCATTCTGGTTTAGCATTCTCCAGGACCGGCAATTCCAGAGCCTCATTCGAAGGCCCAAAAGGCTATGGCAGCATGAAGAGGGAGAGTCTGTTCAAGAAGCAGGACAACCCCACTGCCTACGACCCCCAAACGAGATGGCCCTGATCGGGACCTCATTAGACGACAAACACGACCCCAGTGGATGGTGATCGGGGTTAACAGTCAGGGCGTTCAACATCCAAGGCTGCAGCACACCGCCACCAGCTGCTGGCCAACGGCCTCCTGCCTCGGCCCGAAAGAGACCAGGCTCAAAGGTGTTCAAAGGAGGTCCACTTACAGCAAAATGATGGTCCACTTATACTACGGTAGCAAGCTTATTTCTGAATATTTTGGTTGTGCATGTATTCCGTTTGCTGGTTTCCGGAAGTATTGGCTACAATGTGATTCTAAATAGGCATTGATTTCTCAAATGAGCTACCGGAGTATAGTTGGTCACTATATAGTTAAGTCCACCAAGTAAGTCGCCTTTAGATGTTCCTTATGATTTACATGCAGTCTTGCCTCAAATACTGCTGAAAGACATGCATAACTGTGGTGACATGAAGAGGCCCATGCAGCCGCCACATGCTCAAATCCTCTTGCTTCTCTAGATCTATGTGTATGTGTGCATGTATATATATATATATTATGTGTATATATATGCATATATATATATATGTGTGTGTATTTGTGTGTGACATGCAGGAGTTCTTCAACACTGCGTCAACTGCAGGATCAAAAGTCACAACCAAATGTCTTCTTGCGAGCCTGGAAGCTATGGAGACAGTGCCAGTTATTCCATTGGGGTCTCCGTAAGGATATGCAAACAAATGAATGGACACAATGATAGGCAGGACTAAAAAAAAAAGCTGCGGCAACCAGCGTTGCTGACTTGCTTTCTCTACCAGACTCTACCAATTGTTGTTCTTGGTGGCACCATGTCAGCACCATGCTTGAACCATGTAGACAGCACTGCCTTGCTCTGGGCATCTACCAAAGGGCTTGGGGGCATAGGAGCAGGAAGCCCATAATTAGTGTGAAGCCCACCTAATTAGGCCCAACTGGATGAACCCTCTGATCTGAGTAGCTAAATCATCACATCTTTATTGTCAACATCAATATTATTTTTTACATCATCCTAATCATCCTATCACTCAACTTCAACCACGCCGTTCTCACCATGTGCGCACCTTTTGGTTGAAGCGATCACGTCCGATCGATGAGATCCTTTGGCCCTTTCTTGGCTCGCAATTGCAAGCCAGAGGGGCATTGCCTTCTTGACCTTTATGCTGTCTTGATTTCTCAAGCGCTCCTTAAGATGCTTCCCCTTGGGAACAAAAGGTGGCAAAGGTAAGCTTTGCATCTGAAAGCCAATGTACGATAGATCGACATGACTAAGATGTGCTTTCCTGCTTTCCCCAAATAGAATAGAGCTTCTCTGAATCGCTGGCGTTCTTTGGTTCCAAAGGGTTGTTCCCGTTCATTGAGAGCCGCCCTGCTTTGTCACAGGGCTTTGAATTCACACCTAGGTTTCCTGCAATAAAAGTTGCAAGAAGTCAAATCTGCACAGCGGGCAACGGCAACGAAACAAGTTGTGATGAATGAGCTGACGATAGCAGCTGCGATGCAAGGGGTGGCCACAGGCCAATTGGACCCAAGCAACTTGGGCATCCTCTTCCGTCTTCCCATTCAAACAAATGGTACACAAAAAGCTCTCTGATGCCTCAATGGGGGTGGCAAGCTCCATCAACCGTTTGGTCAAATCCATGGTCACTTGCATCGGCAAACCGGCGGCCAAACCACTGGCGGATCCTCCCAGTTGTCCCCGCAAGTGGTTGACCCCTGGAGGATCCTCCTCGAGGACCAAGGTCGTGAAAATCATCCTCGCCGAGCGGACCATGGCGGCGCAGCGGACGTGGCAGACGGCACCGCCCCCGTCGCGGACGCGTAAAACGCGTCGCGGGCGCAGGGGTTCCATAACGGATGAACGGCCCCGCCAGGAAGTGGCACCAGTAATCGAACGATGGGTTCTTCTTGGCCACTCTGTTATTGACTTGCATCTCACTATGGATTCCGGATTTCCCTTTAATGATCGAGATAAGCCCCGCATGTACACACAGGTTGGGAGACTCCTCCCGCAACGAGTTCCCTCTCTCACAAGATTCCCATCCTCGAATTTCCAACAACAAATCACTAGCTGGCTGGCACTCCCAAACTCCATAACTATCAAAGACCGGAATGGTAGGAGAGGAGTATATCTCTGCCCTGTACCGGCCCCTTAGATGTCTTCCTCGCAAGCGCGGTCGTTCGTCCGACGATCGGCCCCAGCTCCTGGTGAGCCGCCGATAGTGCCGATTGATCGCCAAGGTATCCTGCCAGGGCGTGGGGTTTCTGGGCAGCGATAGGCCCATCGCCTGCAACGCGCTGGTGTAGGACATCTCCTCAGAACACGGTGCGGCCGGGAGCCGATGAATCTCGAAGTCTTATGGTTTTGTCACGTCTATCAATCTCTAGAGTTCAGTTGCAACCAAATTGTTGTACCCACTATTTTCATCTAGTCTATTTTCGATATGAACACTTCAACCAAAGAACCGTAACGAATCCTATATATCTACAAAGTCCTTTAAAATAAGAGAGCCCTAGAGAAACCTGCCTTTGGATGCCTCTAGAACGTGTCCGATGATCCCCCATCCAGGTCCTAGACCTTCCATCCCCCTCTCTTTCTCAGCCTCGTCTCCCCGCCCCGGTGGTGAACAAAGGCCACCAAATGTTGCGCGTTGGACGGGGCGTGCCCGTAGTGCTCCACATACGCATCCAGCCAGGGGCGCTCGGTCCGCGACGGTGCAGCCCTCTGTTCGGCCCTCTGTTCGTCGACCTACCGGGCAGCGACCGGGCGGCGACCGGTGTGTATCACCAAGACCCTCATCCAAAACTGTCGGTCGGATTTCCCCCTTCCAACAGACGGGGTCCGACAGTCCTGAGGGGTGAAACCAATGGCCATTCCACGGATACAACACATCTGCCAGCTGCTACGCGTTCGGCTGCGGAATCCAAGCGTTCATTAGTCCATGAGATTGGCTCGGCCATGACCGCAATTCGTGGTAACAGAGGTGCCCTTCGTACTGAATGGGCACCCACGTTTTGCAAAACATGATATCTCTCTCTCTCTCTGATCATTCCGACATATTCCGAATGATTCAATACTAAACGGATCCATAATAGTGCAATGATACCTGCAATGCAGTGGCATGAAGTGCCAAGTCACAGTTCTGGCTGAGCACGGAAAAAGAACTACCGCCAGCACCGTCAGGTAAGCAGGTGACCTTAATGTCCTCTACGCATCTCTGCGTGCAATCTCATTGGTTTTGAAAACATATCTGAGCGTAGCAGGAAAAGGTTTAAGGTTTATAAAGACCCCCACTTTTCTTCACGGCGCAGCTGCAGCATAGAGAATTCCTTCTGCTTCACTGTGGGGGGGGACAAGCTCCCAGCGTTCTCCAAGTCCCAAAGGCTGACACAACTCACCGACATAATCCCTAGGATTCCAATCACCCTTAATTATCCTTTATAACAGTTCTTACCGAACAACCAACAATTTCGCGCCACAAAACCAGGTCAACCATGCTTTTAATGGTCTCAGGCCAGGCTAAGGGGGGTAATGCCATATACACCCGGGAAAAGTAACATGGAACTTGAAAATGGACCTTTGGAATACTATTTTCCTCTACAACCCAGTGGTTGTCAGGTTCCATGTTAATTTTCCCGGGTGTAATACATCCTATCCCAGTGCCCCGCGCCTGGAGGATGCGCGATGGGCCGCTGGTCGGCCTCGCCGCGGCACCCGCCGCGGCACCGCTGGGCCGCGCCGCTCCGACCCCGGTCGCCCCCGCTCTGCGGGAGGCCCAGGCACGCCGCGCCGCGGCGTAGCGCAAGTGATGCCCGTGGTTCTTGGCGTAAGCACAAAGCTGCTCCTGAAAAAGGGTGAAGATGAGGGCATGAAGAAGACGCCCAGTGTTTCAGGGATGGGTTTCGCCCAGTGGACACGGCAGCAAGAATCAAGTTGCGCCAACGTTTCGAAGTCCCCAGTGAATAACGAACCGCAAAACCTATCGATGTCAGGTGATGTGCTTGTGAGGCCACCCTCGCCAGCGAGTCGCGCTGCTTGATCTACG